CGGGGCTCCCTCGAGGGGAGCCCTGGAGAGACGGCGCTGTGTGCGGGGGGTTAGTTGGCTTTGGGGAGGTGGCTCTGCCGTCGCTCGTTCCTTCTCCTGCAAAAGTAAAGCAAGGGAGGTGGCGAAACTCGCTGCGGGCCCGGGCGCGAGCTGGCGGTGGGCTCGATTCTCACTAGCACAAGAACGTGCTGGGAAGCCCTAATCGATATCCTGGGACACGGCTGGGAAATCGAAAAGAGTGCGAATTTCTTTTCTTTCCGCCTCATGGAGCGTAGCATTTCTGTCACTTTAAATTTCACACACCAGTACTGTTTTAAGCCTGTATTTTAGCCAGCGGGAAATGTTTGTTTTCCGGGTAGCCTCTTAACTTGCCGATCACCAGACAGTCTGCTCTTTCTCCCTTTGTGTTGTCCAGAGAGGCAGATGCTTTGCCGTGAGAGTTTGCACATGCAGCCACTTCCTCCTCTTTTGACAAAGTTTCAGACTAGCAGTGTCCTGGTTCACTGCTGCCAGCATAGGGAGAGCTTTTCAGCTGTGACTGTGGGCATTCTGTATGCAAGATACGAGCTTTGTGCGATCCGCTTACGTATTTTGCCAGCAGCCTTTTTTTTTTTCCTTTTTTTTTTTTTTTTTAAGTGTGATGTTTGCATCAAGTTACGTGTCCTGATTATTATCTTTTGAGCGCAACATGCGTTGTTAGTGACAGCTGGAATGTAACATCGTACAGAGCCCAAGCAGGAAGCTGCAGATCTGGGGTATGTGTGTTTATTCATTGCTTCAGACTGGAGATGAAGGAGCAGTTGCGGTGCAGTCATTTGGGCTTCACAAAACAGGAAGCTGCCGGCAGTTCAGCTTGATGATGTCACGAGCTTCACTATCCCAAATGACTTCTAAACTTTGAAATCGGGTATTGGTTTAAAGTGAGCTGTCTAAAGTAATTTTGGGTAGTGGAGGAGGGAAAACCTTCAAGTCACTCCTGAGTGTTTATTTATTTATTTGTTCTTTTATCAGATGATGCGCTCATCGTTTCTATTTCTCCTTGTAGCTTAAAGGGTAGTCAGAGTATCCTGAGGGTTTCTTAAATATGGCTGTAATAATCTGCTTGCTATTGTGGATCCTTGCTTCCTGTCGCAGTTCTGTGTAACCGTGTTATTCGGCGTTCTGTGGGTGCTTTGTTGTGTCCCAGAGGTGGCTGCATTTGAGGGACAGGCAAAGCAGCTGCTGTAGTTCAGATCTGCTCTGCAAGGGGGCTGCGCTGTGTTTCTCAAGTGGTTAGTCGCAGGAAGGCTCCTGAAAGTACCCTGGCGTATGAAGCGATCCCTGGTGACCTGTGCTATTTTGCTCAACTTCATAGTAAGAGAAAAGGATTTTGTGTGCTTTTGGTACTTAAACTGAGGAAACAGGAGAGCGGGTACTTTGTGTTGCACGTTGCCTGAGAGGAAGCGATTTTTCTGAAAGCATAAGTTATTGCGGGCTGCTCTACAATCTAAACTGATGCAGACTGTAGATGTAAAGACACGTATTAATTGTTGTCATCTGCTTCTCTTTCAGATTGAAGCGAGTGATTCTGATACAACTCAACTTCGCTAGAGGGCTTTTTTTTAAAAAAAGTTGATCCACAGTGCATCAGAGCAAGTTACTACTTTACTTTTGAGTGACTTACAGGTGCTTGCCTGCATTGCAATAAAGGACTCATATATTGAGCAAGACTTATTTATCTCTTCATTTTGGAGAGTCTAATAAACTGTTATTACAGTTTCTGTACTGACTTTCAAAGTTTTGAAGTCTACAAAGACATCTTTAAAACTAAAAACATGAGCACGGCCAGAACAGAGAACCCTGTTATAATGGGTCTATCCAGTCAGAATGGGCAGTTGAGAGGCCCTGTAAAACCCAGCGGGGGCCCAGGAGGTGGAGGCACACAAACTCAGCAACAGATGAACCAGCTGAAAAATGCCAACACAATCAACAATGGCACTCAACAGCAAGCACAGAGCATGACCACCACTATAAAGTAAGTCTGGGTGCAAATGCCAGGAAAAAATAGCTGATGGAAAATAGCGTTGAAGTTTCTTGTGTGGGAAAGTGTACTTGGGTTCTTGTATTTAAAAACGTTTTGTTGTTGTTGTTTTTGGGTTACTGATGTTTGAAGGGTCCGTATGTAAAAGTGTGTGTGTGTGTGTATATATATTTTAAAAAGAGATCTTTCCGGTATGAACTTCTCTGACGATGGCCTTAGTAATTATTGTTTGTGAAAATTGAATTTGGCCCTTTGCTTTTCGAGGCATGTAGCCGTTTGACAAAGGTAGCCCTACTAAGCAGCAGCATCCTGTTCTCTTTGCTCGTTGCAAGCCGTAGGAGAAGGGAGTTGGGGAGTGCAGAGGGTCTGAATTGAGACTTGAGGCAGAGGAGGAAATACCATGTAGCCTTTGTCCAGTTGTGTAGTTTTTCATTTGTTTTCGCAGATGTCTCTCATGGTGAGAAATTCTTCAAAGCCAGATATCTTCTCTCAATGATCTTATAGTCACTTCTCTGCTAGCTTGTGTGAATTAAGCGCAGAATGTCCGCACACAGAGGAGCGAGCAGCGTGCACTCTCTGAGATGTGACTGTTTTTTCATTGATCAAATTCTGAGTCCAGCTAATGCAATAGTGTCACGATATCTTATGTTGCTTTTATCTGCCTTCCCATCAAACTGCTTTGAGAATAATGCTAATAAAGCATGAGTGCGCTGGCGGGAATTCTGGCAGTTTTGAAAAATTCATGCCGTACAGTAAGATGGGGCTTTTTCCCCGCTCCCCCACAGTTTACCCCCCCGCAACCGCCGATAAGAGAGGAGAGATTGTCCCCATTTAATTGTAAGGAGAATGCCTGAGTAATAGAAGAGTGCTTAATGGAATGTTCTGACTTGTAGAGTTTGCTCGACTGGCTTCTGTTTGCTTTTATAAAATGGGTTAATCTGAGCAAGCTAGCGGGTTAAGCTAATCCTAGCACCTTTGCAGCTGGGAACGAGGAAAAAGAGCCTTTTGAAAATTCAAAGGCCTTTGATATTTGATGGGCTAGTGGCACATGCATGTTGCTTAATTTTCTCTAAAAATCTGTTTTTTATCTGCACGTGTTACTTTTAAACTAAGAGTAGATGATACCTGGGCCAGACATTTTTGTTTTTCAGGAATTTATTGTTGGTTTTCCAACAGGTAAAATACTTAGGTGCATTTATTATAGCCAGTTTCTTCTGTTTGACTAATGCAGTTCATCCTTTAAATCAATGTTCTACTGAACGGATATACTGCCCCAAAATGCGAGTCAAATCATGACTGGATAAAGATTTCACAAACTCTTTTTGTATTTGGCAGACTGCTGAATTTCTCTATTTACAGTTTCCTGCCTGTTGCATCCTGCTTAGCTCAGAGAAGACGTGAGCTCATATGCCTAGATGCTTTTAGTCTTCCAGAGGTGAAAGTACTAGTTCTTAAAACTGTTGCTAATAAATTTTTTTTTAAAAAAAGTGATATTTAAGGCCTGTGTGTGTGTATTTTTATTTATTTATTTATTTTGCTATAGACCTGGTGATGACTGGAAGAAGACTTTAAAACTCCCTCCAAAGGATTTGCGAATTAAAACTTCGGTAAGGATGTTTGAAATTTATAAGTGTGTTTTGAAAGAAAGCATGTAGGATAAACTGTGTGTTGCAAAATATTTCTGCTAGGCAGAGATGCAGAAGGAAGCAATCCTTGCTATTTTTAAGTGAAGAATTGATGTGCTCTCAGTTATATGGGAGAAATGTTTTCCTTGTAAAGCTTCAAATTTCCTTTGTATTTTGGGGGCAGGGCTGAGTGTTGCTTGATTCTCAGTGTGTCTTGCAAGGCAGATAAAAAGGTGACAGTGGATATTCACAGTTACCGGACAGTTAATATTTCCTTCTGCGTCGTACAGTGTTGCACAGATTAGTGTGACCTCTTGCATATTCATGGTATGTGCTTTGTAGTCTTTCTGCATAAATAGTCTGTCATTGAGTCTGATCAATCTACTGCTGTGGATCCCATGAACTAATCTTATCAATGTGTTTTTTTGATTATTCAGGATGTGACCTCCACAAAAGGAAACGAGTTTGAAGATTACTGTTTGAAACGGGAGTTGCTGATGGGAATTTTTGAAATGGGCTGGGAAAAACCATCTCCTATTCAGGTATAAAGTATATAAAATAGAGTAGTTAAAAGCCACTGCTAAAGTTTGTATGAATTTATTGAAATTTGTATTCCTACTTAGGTGTGGTATAATCATGTCATGAATTGAGCAGTAGAACTCGGTGATACTTTGGCGACAGGGGGAAATTCTTACATCATTCTTAGCTCCTGAGAGTCAGAAATAGGACTTACTCTTTAAATAAGCTATTTTGATTTTTCTTGTCACTGTGGAGGCAGTAGTATTTCAATCTCCTGTTTAAGTAGCATCCTTCAAGCAAATAAGTAGTCTCAGTGATAACAGTGCCTTTTCTGTTTGTTTGTGGGGCAAACTCTGCTTGACTTGCCATGAGTTGCAAGTCTTTAGTTGTTACAAAGATATGTGTACAGCTTTACCACACAGCTGTAAGCATTTGGGAGGAGGCACAGTGGAAGACAGAGGAATGAGATTAATTGATTTGAATTAATTGAATGAGGCAAGTCTACCTTTTTGTTCCTCTCTCTGGCTTTTACTTTTAATGCTCCTTAGTGTTACTGACTTGCAAACTTGGGAATTATTGGATCCTCTTTTAATTGGTCTTTGCAGGATTATTGTTGACACAGCTGTTCATTTTAGCTGCACAAGACGCAGAAAAATCCATGACTTTTAGTGAAATTAAGTGCTTTAATACAGATTCTGCTCTGCTGCATCTCCTGTGTGACAAGGTTGAGGGGCCTGTGGTATTTAGATGTTATTGCAAAAGAAAGCAAAAAGCAGGTGACATTGGACGGGTTTTGAATGTCCGAAGCTTCGTAAGGAAAGGCTGCAGCTTTTGTCGTAGATATGTCCCAAAAACATGCAGATTTGAAGCTGCAACGGCTGATACGTTTCTCACATCGAGATACATACGTGGTTATCTTTTTCCATAACAGAGGTTGGTTAATGACTGCCTTAGTGATCACACTTTTTTTCTAAATTTCACCTCTTTCTAATCTGTTGGTATGAGTTTGCCATCCTTATGAGTACCTGATTGCTGGTCCTCGTAGGACCAGGTGACACAAGGGTGTTAAGTGAGGAAGTGCGAGCAGAACTACTGCTGTCTTGAAGTCTTTTCTGATGCATTTAACTCCTTCCTGTCACGAGGCTAGGATATACAGCTGCAGGCTTTTGTCCTCATGGGAAAAATGGACCTGATGCGATACTGTTAGTAGGGGAATTAAATTCAGGCAGTCCCTTAGGCAGGCTTGGCTTATGGTTGGTCATAACACTGCTTGTCATTGCATTTCAGGAGGAGAGCATCCCCATTGCTTTATCTGGTAGGGATATCTTGGCTAGAGCGAAAAATGGAACAGGCAAGAGCGGAGCCTACCTCATTCCCTTACTTGAACGGCTAGACTTAAAGAAGGACAATATACAAGGTGAGTTGAGATGGCTTTGTTAGCTCCGTCCAGGTTCTGGTGTTGGCACCTATTTAGCACGTTTGCATCTAAAGCTGGTTGTTGAAATTCATCTGCTGTCTGCTTGTATTGCCAAAAAAAAACTATGGGGAGTGGTGGAGGGAAGGTGGTATATGAAAGCTTTCAAAAACCTGAAATGAAAGCTGTTCTGGAAATTTACTATCTTCTCCTGGAAAGAGGATTTGGAGTATTAAGTGCAGTTCATGGCTGGGGGCCTGAGGCAGAGAGAGGGAGTATGGAGGAATGTGGCCCTCCTCCTAAAGTGTATGTCTGCCCTAAGGATAATTGATGAAGATGCACTATGTTTTTAGTAAGTACAAATAACTCACGCTGAGACTCCTACTTTTCAGCAATGGTGATTGTTCCCACCCGTGAACTAGCCCTGCAGGTCAGTCAAATCTGTATCCAAGTCAGCAAACACATGGGAGGTGCCAAGGTGATGGCAACAACAGGAGGAACCAATTTACGAGATGACATAATGAGGCTTGACGATACAGGTTGGAACACTTTTGCTATGTTAAAATTGCTGTCCTTTAATGTATGGCAGTGGAAGTTCTGCTTTGGAGTTACTCATGTGTTATTGATTGTGTGTCGCAGAACAGACCGTAATATTGCCTATTCAGTGCTTATATACAGTCGTCATTCTCACACTGTTCCTGTGAAACCTGGCTGTGACTGCCAGAAACTTTTTGCATTGTTTTAGTCATCTAATCTTTTTGCTCTTCCAAACTTGCAGTGCATGTGGTGATAGCTACCCCTGGGAGAATTCTCGATCTCATCAAGAAAGGAGTAGCAAAAGTTGAGCATGTCCAGATGATAGTATTGGATGAGGCAAGTTGCTCTTGTTATAAACAGTTTGGATTTTTTAACACTGAATTAAAGTAACGGTGTGTTTCTGCAAGCTTTCCCATTATGCACTGGAATAAAACTTTGGTTAGAAACACTACAAAACGAAACTATTTCTGAATTTTTCTCAGAAAGTGCTTTGGCACAAGAATTCTTATGCCTCTTGATCTTTTGGGTGAATCTTTTAGCAAAACAACTTGGAAAAAAATGCCTTTCGAGTATTCTGAGTGAGACGTTGAGAAGATGGTTGTGTGAAAGCTCTTTAATGAATCTGATAGGAACACTGGTAGCTGCTTTTAGGGTAGTCTCTCATGTCATTCGTTTCTCTTCAGTTTGAATCTGTTAAACTTCCCTGTTTCTCAACACCTGGATTTAACTCCTGCCCCTCCACTCCCCCCGCCGTGCTCTGAAATAACCAAGAAATAAATTGTACCTGTAGTAGCTAAGCTAAACTTTTTGGAGAATGTTGCTAGAATTTAGGGCAGTTGCTTTGTAAAGACAAGTAGAATACCATGGCCTTTTTTTCCTGTTTGCACATGTGTGTTTTCGGTTTACAATGAAATATGACTAGAAAACTGGACCTTGCACAAGTAGTTGAAATTACTTTGTCTTTCTTCTCTTACAGGCGGATAAGTTGCTGTCTCAAGACTTTGTCCAAATAATGGAGGACATTATTCTTACGCTACCTAAAAACAGACAGATTTTGCTCTACTCAGCCACTTTCCCTCTGAGTGTACAGAAGTTCATGGTAGGTGGAAGATGTTTTCAAACACACATTGATTGTGGTGACTTGCACATGAAATGCATGAATGAATGATGCATAACTGTTAATGCTTGCTTATGCATGCAGGTGTTACCTGCTTAATAGCAGCCCGGATCTAGAACAGCAGTGTCCAAATATTTTTGCCTCTGCTAAGGAACTAGGAGAGACAGGAGAGAGAGTTCTTGCATAAAAGGCACCATTTTCCTTTTTGCAGGAGTTGTTCCCTGCAGTTTAGACTGATTTGCTTCCTAGAGGCACTGCCATCTGACCTGCTCTGTTGCCTTTGATTTACAGTCTTCTGTGAAATTTTGCCCACCCTACCTGTCATATGTGTCGCCTGAGAGTGGTGCCTACTTGCCAGGAAGGAACTTGAGAACCTGAGGCTGAGCGGTCCTTTATGCTGGTTTGCACTCGGATATGTCTGCTTTATCTGTAACTTGAACATCCTCTTCCCCCCGCCTTTCAGAATTCCCATTTGCAGAAACCATATGAGATTAATCTGATGGAGGAGCTGACCTTGAAGGGAGTTACCCAGTACTACGCCTACGTAACCGAGCGTCAGAAAGTACACTGCCTCAATACGCTGTTTTCCAGGGTAAGCGGTAGGATTTGGTAAGGAACAGGCAGAAGCTTTTATCCTTCAAAAGCAAGAATAAGATTTAAGGCAACAAAGACTGGCTAACTATATGTGGGTTTTTTGTTTGTTTTTCCAATGCCAAAAAGTGCTGATTTTGCTATGTAAGCTGAAGCTAAAAATACTTGCTGCTTGTCCTGTAACTTCTCGTTATGGAACAATACCAACTTTTCTCCTCTTGTGCACAAAATCTGTACTCTTTCGGTTACTTGCAGCATACCTGCTTTGCCCCTTTCTTGGAAAGGATTTAGAGTTCTTGCACATTTTTATGTTTATTAGTAAAACGCTACCTTTACTAAACATGCTACTTTTATGTTCAGCTCCAGATTAACCAGTCAATCATTTTCTGCAACTCCTCTCAACGGGTTGAATTGCTAGCCAAAAAGATCTCCCAGCTGGGCTATTCCTGCTTCTATATCCATGCTAAAATGAGGCAGGTGAGTATGAAGTAACTTTTAGTTTATCTCCTTCCCTTCCCCATCTCCTCCATGCAAATAATCATAAATGTGATTCTGGGACACAAAATAAATGAAACGTGTGGAATATAGCAGGAGGCTGGAGGAGCCAGTACTCAAAACATCAGAAATAAAACTAAGATTTGGCCACAGACAGCTTTCTTCACAAACCTCTATTTCCGTGGAGCTAGGTGTCATAAATGAGAGTCCTAGCTGCCTCTTGTGCTTTCATGTATGCCGGTTCCCGTGCTTAATGCAGGCAGAAATTGGTGTGAGGCGTTTTGCTGCAGAAGTTAAGGGAAGGATAGTTACTACAGAGCCCAAATTGTTACTGCATGCCATTCCTATTAGTTTTCAGTTAATTTAACTTCCTTCATGTAGATTTAACAAAATAGTTACTTGCAAAACTCCCATTTTGAGCTGTCTGTGAGGGAAGTGCATGAGGGTTTAGAACCCACTCTTGTCTTTGTCTACACGGGCCTCTTTGCTCTTCAGGGCATATGGGTAAGACGTCCTAAGAAATATGTATGAACAGCTTTGTTGCGAGTCAGTTGTTCTTGGTGATGGGGGAAGTAGGAATACATTTGATCAAAGTTTCATGTTTGTAACTTCAATATCTACCTGAAACTTCTCCTTCTTTCCAGGAACACCGCAATCGTGTGTTCCACGATTTTCGAAATGGCTTATGCCGCAATCTTGTTTGCACTGGTAAGAACTCCTGAACGCTTCAACACTTTTATCCCTTTTATTATTTCTTTGGTATTTATGTTTTGGGGGGTTGGGGAGGAAGGAATGTCAGTAAAAGGTAGGCTAGCCATTAGCTCTTATAAAGGATAACTAGATTGGAAATAAAGCAAAATAATAGGTTTGGGAAAGAGAATTTAGTGAAACTTGTATGCAGCAGACTCAAGTTATCCGTGAGACATTCTTTGTCTTTTCAGACAAGTAGTGAAGACGCAACTTGCTAGCGAAACTGTCATTGTGGTAGTTTCACCCTATCGGTAATATACCGTGTTTTATTTCCATGCATGAGGGCCCTTTAAATGGCTGGGCTGAAGTTTTATGAGATAACATCCAAGTTGTAGGCGGGGGTTCTAGTCTGCGAATGAGATCACCGCAGTACATTTTACTAGTTCTTTGGATATTGATACTTCATCATTTTCTAAGAGCTTTTGCAGTTTTAATTTGCCTGTGTATGAGTAAACATGCCACTGTCTGCTGCTGGCTACACGCATCTGGATAGTCTCAATGAAAATCATTAGAAGTTGGGGAGGAGGAGCAAGTAAACAGTTTAGTTAGTTGGATGCAATTCAGATGTTGAGTTTATTGTGACAATGGCAATGTGCTTCATGGCTGAGGAGATGCTTTTATTAGAGAAAAAGAAGCTCAAAAATAATCTGGAAAATGGGCTTGGTATTACTGACTTTTCTTATATATGTGTGAAAATATGGGATCTTTGTCGTTTTTCTTTCCTTATTCCTGCCTAAAAAGGGTAAAGAGCGAGAAGAAGCCAGAGCAGAATTCAATGTAAAAGGTCATGATAAAAGAGAGGTTTATATTTAGAAACTAGTGCAAGTTGCTATTTGTTAATCTTTCCACCCCAATCCTGCAAGCATGTGATCTTGTTGAAAGTAACTGTCTTCATGTCCCGATTGTCTTTCAGATCTGTTTACCCGAGGTATTGATATCCAAGCTGTGAATGTGGTGATAAACTTTGATTTCCCAAAGCTGGCAGAGACTTATCTCCATCGTATTGGCAGATCAGGTGAGAGGGGAAGCATAATTTAGGGATAACTTTGCTCATAACTCTGACCACCTTGGGCTTGAATTGGCTTTTGCTTACTGTTACTGTATCTGAGAATTGTTTTACCCAGTTTTGCTTCTCATACAAGTTTCTAGCGTCCTACCCTGTTCGAAGGGCAGCAGCATGTGTTTTCAGGTATTGGCTCAGGTGATTATCCTCACAAGTAATCTGAATAGATGCCCACGCTTTTGAAACTGGCCTGCACAGCTCAATGGGACACCTTATTTGCTCTAATCTCGAAAGATTTTCTGTTGCTCCTGTTTGTATTTTGGGAAAAATCTCTCATGAGAACTGAGCTGCCGCAGCATAGTGTGCTTCTGCAAGTGCTCCAAAATGTTTCCGACGTCCAGACAACAGCAAAATACATCTCTGGGAAAGGCTCGTATCCACCGAGGGGAGCGAGCTGGGAAAGAGAAGGAAACACCTGAGAGAGATCACCACCTTTTGTGTTTCTGCCATTCAGCTCACGCACCCGCACGTCTTTGTGGCAGGAGCGCTTGCTGTTCAGTAAAGGCCGGGAGCACAGAGTGCAGTAGTGGAAGGGGTTTTTGTTTGTAAATAATAGGTGTGCTCCGTTGGAGCATCTTGTGGTCTCTTGGGTTTTTGCATTCTCTCAGCCGGGTGAAACGCAGAGCCCTGGGGCAGGGCCTGGACTTGGTCTCATCATCAGAACAATCTGGATCCCACCAGAACCCGCAAACTGTTTCGGTGAACTTTGTTGTTGTTGTTTTTTCTCCTTCCCAAGGTCGCTTTGGTCATCTTGGCTTGGCCATCAACTTGATCACCTATGATGATCGATTCAACCTGAAAAGTATTGAGGAGCAGTTGGGAACTGAAATTAAACCCATACCAAGCAACATTGACAAGAGCCTGTATGTGGCAGAATACCACAGTGAACCTGTAGAAGATGAGAAACCATAACCATGTGCGTATGTAAATGCCTTCCCGAGGGCACAAGGCACGTTGGGTGAAAGAACAGCTGATAGATGAGAGTGGTGTCAGGGGGAAGAGTGGAAAGCGATGTGCTGAGGAGGAGCCGAATGTGAAAACAAGAGGATGAGAGAGTCTGTCAATGCAAGGGATACTGAATGGGAGAAGCAGCTTCTAGTGGTTTTGACTGAAATGCTGGGCGCGTGTTAGGGGTGGAAGAAGGGGAGGTAGAAAAGCTGGAATGATGTCTGGTACCCTTAGGAGTTCTCTCCGTATGGCATAGCTAACAGGAGAAACAGCTGAGGGGCAGAGGGGCAAGCAGTCATGAGAAAGCTGCTGAGAAGAGATTGCTGATTTGAGAACGTAGCAGCAGCAGCGACACCTCAGCACCTCGTCAGTTGAAAGGAGCAGGTTCAGGCTGAGAGATGCCTACATCATTTGATTCGGGCCCTTGCAAGTGAAGAGTGGGTAGCAAAGGTGTAATTCATCCTTATTGCCGCTTGAGGTCTACTTATCTTCACGGCACCCTAAACTGAAACCTCATTCTTTTTAAGTGCACCTCTTCTGGTAACTTTAGGGGAAGAATTGCTGAGTCCGTTTATCTTACAAGACGGAAAATTGTCCTGGGTTGCATTAGAGCAAAATTAGAGGGTGGCGTTTGGTCTGTTTTAATTAAGACACTATGTTGTCTAAGGTGAGAGATGATTCTGTTTGGGTTGCAAGAAATTCTCGTGCGTGTCCTTTCATTGGGAATCATGAAGCAGAGAATCCTAAGAAAGCTGCAGAAATTCTTCTCAAGTGATGAGAAGGTGCTGCAAACTGTAGTTGCTGAATTTAGTTTAAAAATGGCCCTATGTCCTTTCTCTGAAAATACTGAAGAGGAGCCCTAAACAGTCCTGCCAAGCTGGTTTACAGTCTCTGATTTGCTGGCTGAACTCTGTGTTTTTATGACTGAGGTTATATATATATATATGTATATACGTGTGTGTGTGTGTGTATACACGCACACATACTTTCTTTTGAAAGAACTCGGGAGAGGTGGGTTCAAAGGGCCGTGGGTACCTTACTCCGAGGGTGCGTGCTGAGACCTTGTCTGAGAAATTACACGGCTTCCTTAAGGAGTCACACGAGTGAGCGGGCAAGTCCGATTGGGGTAGTCGTGTAGTTGTCCCTCTTTCTGAGAGGCGGCGGGTCTTTTTAAACTGCAAGGTTAACTTTGCCTTGAAACCCCTCTTGTTGCTGGACTTGCTCTGGAGAAGTTCGTCGTAGCCGTTGACTCGGCTGCCGCTCTGCGCTCCCTGGCGCAGTGGCCTCTGGCCCTTTGTGGGCCAGAAGGGAGAGCGCCCAGGGTTTGCTGTGCCGCGACTTGCTGGAGCAGGAAGCGTTGTTGCAGCCAGGCTGTTCCACAAGTTCAGCTGCAGTTTGCTTTCCTAAAGCTGCTACATAGTCAGTGTGATTCACTTCTTCCGTTGGGGGTATGTATAAAAAGTATTTAACTGTAGATGTGGGTCTTTTGTTTGTTTTTTAGGCTTTGATTACACATGCCAGAAGGTGAAGCCCTTTGATCCAGATCTGTGACACATCGTTTCTTTGGGGATACCCTTCTCTTTATGGGTTTTTCTTCGTCTTTTCATTTTGGAACTATGAAGACTAAAGAGCTCGGCCTTTTTTCTTTTTAAATTTGGCAGCAAGGAAGAAAGAAGATAAAAGGAGGAATATCTTTTTGTTTTTCCACTTGTTTGCACTGTGTGCTGATTGAACATTAGTTGCACTAACTGCTGGTTTTAAATTCTTTTTCTTTGGGTGGGAGGGGCAGCAAGGGAGGAAGAGAAACCCTAAAAAGAGAAGAATCTTGATGAACACGAGCTTGTCTGCTATTTCAACTTCTCCAACCACCGACTGAGTGCATTTCAACTTCTCCCTGGTTACTCATCTGTTTTTAAGCTAAAGAGCTTGTTACTTATTCGTGCAAAGTGCCTTATGCTATGAGACCATTCAGAATATTCCCCTTTCCGACACAGCCCAAGGAATCAACAGCTGTTTTTTTTCAGGTCAAAGTTCCCCTTTCTTCCCTTCCTCCTCCCCAAGTACTCAAGCCCAGGGCTGGGAGGTGAAACGTATTGGTAATACTACTATTTTTGTTCCATTTTTTTTTTTTGGAGGAGTTGATATGCATCTGCAGTTCACCCGCACTGTAAATACCTGTATTTAAAACAAAACCAACTAAAAATCTCGGCTGATTAGGTGCAGCATCATAGCTCCAGGAGGAAAGAGTAGCCTGTCATCCTTTGCAGGAGCCATAAGAAAAGCCCTATGCTCTAGCAGAACACTAAAGACTGGTTTCCATAAGTCTCCATTAGTAGTTACAGCACTTGGTATGTAGACTTGTTTCAGAGCCATGGCCCTCTTTCCTCTGGTGCAGTGTGTCCCATAGAAAATCAGATGTGTATATTGTACAAACTTTGTAAATATGATTTTTTTTTCCTGTTTGGGTTCATATATAACTTTTTTTTTTTTTTTCTTTGATGAAGGTTGCTGGGGTTAAAGGGATTTGACTGATTATGGGAGCAGCTAAAGATGAGAGGGGCTCAGTTTTCTGCAACACTAACCACTGAGAAGTGCTCTGACCTCTGTGAAGAGCAGGCCTCTACAAGTGTCCCTTGTCAGGGCGGGTTTGCTCGGGTGCTGGCGACGCTGTCCTGTTCCGCTCTTACGGAGGAGATTGCTTGCGGGACTGCGAGGCCTCGAGCGGCGTAGCTCCACGTGTTCGAGAGGCTCTTCGATTTCCCCCTTCGAAACTTCGGGAACTTTGCAAGCTCTGAAGGGGGCCGAGGTCCGTGTTCCACCGTGGTGCGAGGGAAGTCCAGCGGGTGTCAGTGTTGCTGAGCAGTTACTACATGCCAAAGGCGTGGAGTTGGCTTTAACAGAAACCATAGAGAAAGAGTTTCCGTGCATAAACTGACAGTCTGGAGCGCTGGGGGATTGATTCACCTCCTGCAGCGTTGTGCGTTTTGTGCCCAAAACGACCCTGTAGAGACTTGTAAGCAGGTAAGGGCAAGCCCTGTTAAAGTCAGAAGCTGCAGAAAGCTGTTTGCCATCTTCTCTGTTTTGACATGAATTGCTGTCTGTCATTCTGCGTTGTATATTGCTGGAAAGTGCTTTCTGGTCAAGTAGTGTTGCTTTGAATTGTGCCCCTCCCAACATGCTTGATGTTTGGCCTGATCTACAGGCAAAAGGAGTGAGACAAATCAAAAACTGTAAACTTTTAAAATTCCCTTTTAGCCTGTTCAACAACATTGTCCGGAGGCACCTGGATGAACGCAATCCCTTTTGCTCTGTCATTTATTGTGTATACAGATGCTGCACTCACACCATGCTCGCTTACCTGGATGCAGGAATTAATTTTCTTACTTTCTCCCCACTTTGACTTTTTTTTTTCTGTTCTTTATACAAGTAAAATTGGAGCTACCAGGCAGACTTACCCATCAGTTTCCTTGAGGATCGCAAATAGAGACCAGGTGCCTCCTGGCAGCAGCTTTTCGAGATGAAAGGTTTTTTGTTCGGGGTTTTTTGTTTTGTTTTTGTTTTGTCGACAGTGACTCCATAATTGTAGCAAATGCTGCACTAGAATACAAACTCGAGAGCTTGGTCGCAGGCACTCTGTGAGCCACACAGCAACATCTGACTGGCAGGTACTAAATGTAAACAATTTGGGGGTGCTTTTTTGGGGTGGGGGGTGGGAGTTTGTGGGTGGTAACTTTGACCAAAAGTAAAATCTTGCTCTTGTACTGCAGCCAGCTTATGATTTTCCAGTGAGACAGAAGAGGGATCATTTTAGTGCAACAAGAGACATGGAAAATGTAAATAAGTTTTTGTATCTTGTCAGGGCATGCACATATAACAAGAACAAGATAGCTGTGTTGAGTCAGATGTGTGTGCTCTGCTTGGATTTGTCGTAGGTTAGCCTGGTGCCATGCTTTGATGGTCCCTCTTGAAGCACAGAACTTTTCAATTGAAAGTATTACTTTAAACTTGGCCTCTACTTGAGGATTGGCACTTACCTAGACTATCGGGGGCACCATTTTTAGGCAGCTTCCGCTAGAGAGGAAGCAGCCTATTTTTGGTGCTAATAGGCTATCTCTAACAGGTGTGATCTTGCAAATGGAAAGATGCTCCAGATGACTAGGATAATCCTGGTCTTTTTGTTTTGTTTTGTTTCTCTTCTGCCCTTACCCATATGAGGGGTGTACATAAACCTTGGCTTCCTCAGAGTTCTGATGACCTCCTGTTTCTCCTGGTCTGGTAGCAGATGTTACATGTCTGCATTGATTGGAGCCAGTCTGCCCCAAGATCAAATATTTCCCCTGACAAAGATGAAGTTGGCGAATCTGATGTGCTCTTCATTTTTCCCTCAGAAGTCTAAAAGAGTTGCCCGATGAAATGGAACTTCTCAGCTGGGTGAAGCAGCTGTGAAGAGGGCGGTGCAACCCTTCAGTCGATTTATTCTAGATAAACTATAGGCTGACCTCTGGGCGCATGCCCTGAGGGCTCTACAGTTGCTTAGAGGGCTTTTGCCAAAGGGAGGGGGGTGGGTTGGTCTCAAATAACCTATTTTAATTTCCAGAATGAGATGGGAGCATCTTTCCTTTGCCCTCTGTGATATTTTAGTGGGTAAAAACATGGAAGCTCAAACGAATATGTTGTGTACACGTGGGTATGGAATCATCTCATTCTGATCCTGTGTTCTTTATTTTTACTGTGGGATGGGGGAGGGTGTCTGCACCAAGAATTTAAAAATGCTTCGCACACCTGTGTCTCGCGTGACTCGATGCAGCTGTGAGCAGGTGGCCGCCCTGCGTCTGCTCCTGTCCTGGCGGTTACGGAACCGCCGTGCTGCACCTCCGCTGTCACCTTCGCGGTGGGTCTCGTGCCGGCGCTGGGCAGGGGGACGCGCGCGGGGCCGGGCAGTTGTGGCTTTCTGAGGGCAGGGCGAACTTTGTTCCCGGGAGCTCCAGCTGTACGAGCCCTCCGCAAACGTCGGCTGGAGTAGTCTGTGCAGGGAATGTTCTCGTCGCGCTGAACTCCTGGCCCACTTTATTTCTTGAAGCGGGATTTCTCCTCATACTCAGCCAAGTCTCTGGAGCTAAGAGCATCCAAGCTTACGAGATACGGCTTTGGCGGATGCTGTCCCTTAGGTTTAGCTCCACTCACTGTTGTGTTGTTAACATGTCCCCGCACAGAAGCATTGTTAAATTCTGCTGTAGACAACTTGGGGAAGGGTGAGGAAGGGTGGGGGGAGGGTTGGGCTTATTAAGATACAGCTCTGCTGTATTTTAACCAATAATTACGGGAAAGGGGTGTCAGGAGAAGAAAATAGTCACTGTTCCCTTTATTGAAAGAAACTGGAACTTTATTTCAAGAAAAAGAAATTGTAATTCCAGTGCGATGTTATAACCCACTGGTCCCTAGTCAAGAGGTTGGCATTTTACAGATAACCAGTGAACAACATGGACTAGTCCTGCAAAACGTTCGGGGGGGAGGGGAAAATTGGCTTTCTGTTAAATTGGTAATTGGCAAACTCTCCAGCGGAGCTGAAATTTTGTTGAGAATGTGTTTCTATGGATGTATATGCGTCGCAACACTGACTTGTGAAGAGCTTCATGAGTTCAGAGTGCAGAAAAGGTGAATGGTAAAATCCTGATTTTGTTAATTGAACTCAATAAAAGCTCCCTGGAACTCCAACTTGGTTTTGTTGTTCCTTTCTTTTAACTGTGCTCAGCAAAAGGCTTGCTTACCTTTCCTCTGCACAGAAAACCTCCGTACGTGTTTGTGAGCGTTCAGAAGTAGCTTTGGAGAGATGTCGGGCAGAGGAGTCCCGTCTTCAGAAGAGGAAAGGCGCTCGGAGCTCGAGCGAGGACACGTCTGCAAGAGGTATTCCTTGTGTCTGCGCAGCCTGTCCAGCCCGGATGGCATACGCTCTTGGAAGGTGCAGCGCCCCTGTGCCTCCTGTCACCTGGATTAGTAACTCCTGCCTCTGGGCTGCACGGCCGCACTCGCCGTAACTGTGACGGTGCGAGAGGCTTCTTTGTGGGCGCTGTCCAGCCGGTGTTTGGTTTGTGTTTAACGGGATTGTAGTTGGTGGCACGGCCTCCTCAGCTGTTAGGCCAGAATTTACATTAAATAAATCACTCTGAAGCAGACTGCTGATGTCAGTGCCAGCGTTATGAAGGGTTTGGGTTCTGACTTACAGGTGTGGAGCAGATTTAAATCCTGGTAGCCCCCATGGCACCGTGGGCGGCCCACGCGCTGTACTCGGATCGCGGACCTTGCCGGAGGCGTGGAGAAGAGCAGGGGTTCAGACTGCTGACCGGGACTGCCTAAGGGGAGAGTACGGAAAGGGCAGGCGCTTCCTGGGGGTGGTGGAGGACGGCAGCTTGGGACGGGGTGTCTGGGGCTTCTCCGGGCCCTCCCCGGAGGCC